AGGAGTGGGGGCCCGAGGCCGCCTGCCGCTTCAGCATCTTCACCGGCCTCCTCTCCCTGCTGCTGGCCACCGTGCAGGCCTGGAGGACCCTCTTCTTCCTCTGCAAGGGGCACGAGGAGTGAGTACCCCCGGGGATGGGGGGTGTGGGCCCCTCATGGGAGCAGCGTCGGCTGCGCGGGTCACCGGGTGTGCTGGGAACTGTGGGGTGATGCTGGGGCTCACCATGACATGTCCCTGCAAAGGGGGGGCCTTCCCCAGATCAGCACCGGGTGTGGGAGAAGCCCCGAAAAATTGGGGATGTGTGTGTGGGGGCAGAAGGGAGCAATTGGTGACCCCCTCTATTTTATCCTGCTTCTTGGTGGACATGGCAACTATTGCAGAGAACAACTATTGCTTGGTTACGGCGTCTCCTGGCTAGGAAAGTAATTTTCCCAGGGTTTGGGGACCATGCCAAGGGTGGAACACGCGTGCCCATGTCTGTTTGGGCCATTCTTGAGTCAGCGACTGTCACTCTGGGCTTGTACAACAAGCTTGGGCTTGTACACCCTAACGGGGGTTGTGCTTGGGGCTGGGTAGCAGTGTTGTCTCTCTGACCCTTTCTGACCATTTTCAAGCTTCCTGATACTAAAACATGCTATAAGTATGGAGCAGAAGCTTATTTCCATATTAAGACTTATTTCATGAGATCTAAACATAACCATGGACTTCTTAATACATTTGAATTCAGCTTCCTCAGGTGATCAGATCCCTATCAGTTGAACCCAGCTGCTTATTTCAGTTCTGCAGTCCGGAACCAGTCAATTCCTGGAAGAAACCAGCAGCAAACCCTCATAATGTGTAATAATTTGGTTCAGGTGTGTGGCCTGCGCCCAGACCTGGCTGCTTGGTTCAATACTCTTGGGCAGTCCATGGAAATGGTCCCTTTGGGGCCGCTGCTCCAGGCCAGCTCGGGAGCGCGCTGGCCCCAGGCAGTCGGGGGTGGCACCATGCGTGTCCTGGGAAGGGTTAATAACTAAACCAACCCAAACTTAATAATGCCAATTAACCGTAAAAGAATAGGATCAATGCTAATAAAGCGATCACCGTTATCCTCGGCTCACAAACAGCAGCCACTGCCCACATGGCAACGACAACACCACAAGAGAGTGGTGAGCCTCAGGAACTGAGGTGAAGGAGAAGGGAAAGGAAGAGAAGAAACTCCCCAATTTCCAGTGCTGTGACTATTATGGGATAGATCCATCTGTATGGGTCAGCTGGGATCACACTGGATCATCTGTGCTGGGGCACCTGTACAAAGAGTCTCGGGCTCTCGCTCCCCCCATCTTCTTGTGCAGGAGAAGGGAAAACGAATAAAGAAAAGAAAACAAACTGTAACAGGGGTGCAGGCGAAACCTTGACCAGTGTAAATATGGTCATGAACTGCCAGTGAAAGTGAAAACAAACAGAAGAAAACCCAAACAAACTTACCAGCTGCATAAGGAAATCAACCCCATCCCAGCCAAAGCTGCAATACCAACCTGTGTTCATTGAAGGGAGCACTGCTGAAACACCGAAAGGGAGCTCCACAGTTCAGTCCCAGCACGGACACCCGTGCAAACGGGGAGCAATGCTCAGCCCTGCTCTGCCATGGGAGGCCAGGCTTTGGCCTTGGTGGCTGTTTCCTCATCTCACTTCAGAGCAGTCCTCCCAGGGTTGTGTTTATATGTGTAACCTGCACAAACTGGGACTGAGCAGCCCACAGCAGTGTCCAAGCACTGACTCAAGAAGCCTCTCAGTTTTTCATTTCGTGATCCACCAGGAGAAACCAGTGGGTTTTGTTCTCTGGGGTGCATGGACATCTTCTGTCCCAGCACAGTGCAAGCTGCACTGGTGGGAACTGTGTCACATCCACCCCTGCCACCCAACTGAGCAGGGTGACCGCCTCCTGGAGCCGCCAGTTGGATCCAGCCTGGAGCAGAGGCCCATGTTTTAGATAACAAGACTTCCCCAGCAGTTTCAAATAGCAAAGGACTCAGATGTATGAGGAAAGGATCCCATCCCATCCCATCCCCATCCCCATCC